CCATTACCGCTTGTGTTCGTTTTGCTTAACAATCTCATCAAACACGTTTTCAAATGTAGCTTTCCCGTTTACAACCGTCACTAGCATATCTTTAAACAGATCTTGTCCTAATAGAAGAAAACCTGTAACAGTTAGTTGACTAATACGTACATATAAACACCGCGTTGAAAAGTATCTACTTTCAAGTTCACGCGTATTTTTGTATGTGCGAAAACAACTCCACCGCAAAATCTATTTATCTTTAATTTTCCTTTTTTAATTTTTTCTTTAATTTTCATATTTTCTTTAACGCATTTGAGATAATTCGCTGCCGTCTGCCTACATTGACTGCCAGTATTGATCAGCGCCGTAAACGTATTACCGTTTATCAAAACAACTTTCTCAGAATTATTTTCTTGAATAACCATATAATTCACCGTTTTTGTCATACACGTTCCATCGCTGACTCTACGTCTACTTTGTGGTTGTGAACATTTCAAAAAAATGTGTCCCTTTTGTTGACAAGTAAAATACACAAACTGCTTATCGTTTCGTATTTTTCACTTAATTTCATTTTAAAATTTGCTTTTTCGAGTTTAAACATACGCGCGGGTAAATTTTTAGAGTAATCAATTACCGTTTGCTGCAATTGCAATTTGCAATTCACGTTGTTTAGGAATTTTATACGTTCATTCCTTTTGCTTTTGTATATAATAACCGATTATCCGCGTAATTTTTCGTTATGTCAGCGGAGCACACAAGTTTGCCCAGTGGAGTCTCATTGATGTTTCTGCGTATTCAATTGTAATACGAATAAAAAACATACCTGTCATATGTTATTCGATATGATAATTAAAGAAAATATGTTATTAACCGTATCAAGTGTGATTTCATAATGTTATATGAACAGTAATTTAATGTTTCAGTTGTTAACAGCTCGTTCACTACCGTCCTAATCACTCGGTGTTCAATCAACAACTAACTAACTGCCTTTCTTTTACACTCCCATTCGCATCAGTGTTCCCATCGCCTTAAAATTATGCAAGTTTAAGCATCCGCCTGAATTATGTATATCATTACGATGCACAAAATTATATTTAATTGATTAATTGGTTGGTTTAATTTTTGAAAAATGAATATCTAAATTATGATATTCAAAAAATTACTTTCAGTAACTAGGTCCACTAGTTGTGCCGGAAAGTAATTCCTGCACAACTTTCTTCTTGCATTTAATACAGCTAATTCTACAAGGGGCTTGAAAAAACTGTACCGTTATTTTGCAAATCATAGTAATACTAATTACTGTTTAGTTTATTTAGTTACGTTAACTTCTGCATTTTGAAACAGTCCGTAATTAATTAAAGTTTTAGGCATATCATTAAGATAAATATGTTTTTCTAGAGTTAGGTCATTTAGGTTGCAAAATGCTGTTTCATTTTGTAATGTTCTATTTATATAGCTATTCTTTTCACTATTTTTATTATTGTTGGTTTTTTTGTATTCAAGATAATATTTGGACCGTTGTATTAAGTTTGTAGTTTCATAAGCTTAAGTATTTCTTTAAAAAACTAAAATGAAATGATCGGTTTCTAAAATTAACTAGTATTTAGCCTATTTCATTATGTAGTATAAGTTACAATGTTATGTTATAGTGTAAAAGTACTATTGCTTTGACTATGTTATATATAGCGAAGGTTATTTGGTAATTATAGTTGTGGAGAATTATGTTTCGCATATTTTGTATTATTTTATCTTTCAGTAGAATTATTTGTTTGTTATGCCTAAATGCCTGTTTGAAAGTCGTTAAATGTTTTTATGTTTTTGATATATATGTATAGTTATGTTTTTAAAATTTTTAATAATTTTGTTGTTAACCTAGCAGGTATTACTTTATTATTCCTACTCCAGAACTACTTCCATCAGTTTGACCTGCGCCTATGACACATTGCTGCTTCAGGTGGCTAGCCTTGCACTTCGTGTTGGAGTGATACAACTGCTTACTCTAGCTGCCTTCTCTCAATTTCTACTTTTTTCAACCTCAGTATATTTCCAGGAAATATTGCTATACGATTTCAGTCTTTGTTTTCGATCATTTTTTCTGTCACCGTTCTTGAAAAAAACTCCGACTTGCGTTGCATTTCGTTTGGGTGACCTTGCGGTCATCGTTTACAGTCATCTAAGTCCCAACCTTGCTGATCAATGACCATATTGCTACTAATTACCAGTACCGCTGGTTCAGAAACGATAGGGAACGCTGAGGATATCCCCAAAGTTATAGTTCGTTGCACTGACACTGATAATTTACTGCGCTCATACTGTATCTGCCTACATCTTACAACCTTACAAGAAAATCAAGTAAGTGATGACAGTGATTATGACTATAATGGGAAGGAACTATTTTTACTCTGCGTGAGTCCTTTTATATATCTTATAAGTCTACTCAATGCTGCTGCAGTTTTTCTAAGCTTGATTACCACTTCCTCAATCTAGGCCAAAAACGTTAATCTAGAATCTAATCTAACAATCTAGTGTTGCCACATACTCTCATCTCAACTCTTGGCTGCATGTGCTTTCTTCCGAGAAAAACCAGTTCAGTTCTCTCCGCGGCGAGTTTGAGAGCGTCATCATCTTACCATATTTGTTATCCATTGCACATCTTCTGTGTTTCGCGCCCTTATGACAATGTCGTTTGCAAATGCCATGAAGTGTGTATCTTTAGGCATTTTTAGGTCTTGGGTACCATTGAAAGTTATCGTTCCACAGCTCAGGTCCGAGGACGTCCTTATGTTGCTCCAGATATGATTTGCTTTTATATTGGTCCATTACGAGTGTCATAAACTACAATACGATATTTGAATTTGTTTTTCAGCGTATCGAGAATGCCAATCCATCTCACACTTTTAAACAGATTGTGTACATCAAACGGTGCCAGCGAAACAATGTTTGTTGAATTGTAGCTGCCAACCTGTGCAGTCTTTATTTTTTTGATCATATCTTCTATTGCACTCAACATGAAGTGTCCTATCCTGAATCAATATGTAAATCGATGACAGATCTTCTGCTAGATCAACTGCTGCAATAACACAAGATTTAATCAGCCTTTCAAGCTTTCTAGCGGTGTGAGGTATGCAGATTGGTGTGTATACATCAGCACGTTTTGTTCATGCTTCTCCTTACTGATTAATGTCAATTTTAGCTTGTTCCAAATTTCATAAAAGTTGCCCTCTACTAAACAAGCATTTTAGATGTTCAGTAGTATATGTAGTCATTTGTTAGCAATCACCTAAGTATTTCAACCAGTGATCCATCTAGACTCGGACTTTTGTTATATTTTAGCGCACTAGCAGCTGCAAATAGTTCTTCTGATCTGCTTAAAAGTTAGATATGTGACGGGAATATGTGTCAACTATTTCCTTAATTTTTTTAGTTCGGTTGTCTGGTACTCAGCTTTTTTGTTACAATCTTGCATCCTATGCTCCATTGATTACTATTTATGTCTTCGTTCAATTCTTCTTACTTAACCATATTGCTTTGATTTTTATTCATTCTTTGTGCTCTCGTTAGCCTTCGTGCCTCGAGTAAATGCGAAGCACGAGTATTCGGTTTATTTCGAGTTGACCTTTCCATTTTAGGCATGGAAGCATTATAAGCCTGTGCAATGCTATTCATCATTTATTCTATTAGCGCAGTCGAGTATTTGACTCTTTCGGAGAAGAAGTCTCCTGCAATAACTAGCAATGCTAATTTCTGTAGAGTTATCTTCTACGAGGGCTGCTATATATATTTCTGGTCTAGGCAACACTAAGTGTTGCCAGGTGTAATCTGACATTTCCATTGAAAAGGTTGACATTTTTTAGCACAACAACACTCAGAACGTGATGTCATTTAATTCTGAATTGTTTTATTTATACAGACTTGAAAAATTCATCTCGGCCAAAAAATGGAATTAACACGTGAACATTTTCGTGTGATCATTTTTCACAACTTTCGACGTGGATTATCACGACAAGAGTGCATTGATGAACTTAAATCTTTGTATTGCGATGAAGCACCATCCTATAGCAGCGTGGCCGACGATCGCTCAACGACGAATTCCGTGAAGGCCGTTGTGCCAGAGAACATTGATGCCGTGCGTGAAGTGATAACGCAAGATCGTCATGTGACATACCGTGAGATAGAGGCTTCCTTGGGCATTTCTCCTACCAGCATACATTCTTTATTGCATGAACACCTGGCTGTAAAAAAGGTTTGTTCTCGTTTTTGTTCTCTTGATGGGTCATCCGCCGTACAGCCCTGACTTGGCACCCAATGACTTCTTTTTATTTTCGCACATCAAGAAAAAAATGCGGGGTCAACGCCAGCAGATGCTGTTGAAGCGGTCAAAAACCATGTTTTGGAGGTGTCTTAATCGGAGTGAAAAAAATGCTTGGTTTGAGCGCATGCAAAAGTGTATAAATTAGGCTGGAGAATACTTTGAAAAACAATAAATCAATTTTTGATGATAAATATTCGCATTTGCATTATTAGGACAGAAATATATAATGCAGCTCTCGTATACATAGCAAAAATAGTCTACGGATATCTACAAAATTTTTCTTAAAATTGGTATAACTTTTTTAATTCCCACTCAAATTAAATTTTGTTTTCTAATTTCTTTTAACCGTAGAAATAACAGCCTCAGGGGAGGCTGTAACCCCTACAGGGCGCATCGCAGGTGTCAAATAGCGAATGCCTCCCTCCAAACAGCAAGGAGATGGTGAATTTCGTAACAAACCCCCACCGTAAGCTTTCCGAAGGTAGTATCGATAAAAGGTTACAGATGGTGCGGGGGAATGGCAGCTGGTTTCTCAGTATCATGTAAAGGCAGAGGTTGAGACAATTAGTATGGTTGTACATGAATTAGCAGATAGCGCAGTGGTATCCATATAAACGGTATGTGCACAGCGGTGGAAGGCAACGGAAAACCACCACTATTATTTTTCCAAGATAAACATGAATAAACATGAATCAATTTATCTAACATGGCTGAGAATCAAAACAACGGCCCCGAGTACGGGCGCCCCTTAAATGGGGCAGGGGTGCTAAGAATCTCCCGTTCAGCTAAGATGAGATTCAGTAATAATAAATCATATAAAATTGTCACTTCGAATGTCAGGAGTATGTTCGAAAGCGGTAAAATTAATAATACAATACGGGAAATGCAGAAACATGAAATTGGTATTTTGGGAGTAAGTGAAATGCAATGGCCAGACCACGGAAGCTGTACTATAGACAATTATAATGTCTACTACAGTGGCGACGATGGAAGAAGAAACAAACATGGTGTTGCAGTTATTATATCAAAAGAACCCAAAAATATGATAACAAATGTCGTGTATCATTCCGCTCGTTTAATAATGGTGCAAATGAAAGGGTGGCCGGTAAATTTAAATATAATTCAAGTTTACGCACCCACATGTGATGCTCCTGATGATGAAATGGAAATATTTTATGAAGGAATACAATCATTGATAAGAAGTACAAAGTCAAGAGATTTTCTGGTGGTTATGGGTGACTTTAATGCCAAGATAGGCCAAGGTACGGATGATGCTATTGTTGGCAAATTCGTCCTAGGCGAAAGAAACGAAAGAGGTGATCGTTTGGCTGAATTCTGCAGAAGTAATAAGTTGATTATTTCCAATACATTCATTAAACTGCCAAAACGAAAACTTTATACCTGGAAGTCACCAGCTGATACAGCAAACAAGGTCATTCGTAACCAAATCGACTTTATAACAATAAGCGAAAGATATAAGAACTCAATAAAATTCGCAAAAACTTTCCCCGGTGCGGATGTTCCATCTAATCACAACTTGCTAGCTGTTACAATCAATATCAAGTTCAAAACGACAAGCTCAGCTCAACCGAGGAGTAAACTCAATGTACAGAAATTAAAAAGCCCAGATTTGAGGATACGATTTGAGAACGAAAATGAAATTGAAACGAAGTTATTAAGTTTCCAACCCGACGACATGTCCATTGAGGAAATATCTATGAAAATTAAAAACACAATAATGGAAGTTGCAAATAATGAAGTGAGCGTGGTCAGATCTAGAAAGAAAGAAGTTTGGATGACAGATGAAATCTTGGCATTAATCGACGAAAGAAGTCGGTATAAAAATAAAAATAATCGCAAATATAAGGATATACACAGATCTATACGTGTTCTTATTAGAAAAGCAAAAGAAGAGTTTCACAAAAAAGAATATGTGGATATAGAGGGTTATAAAGAAGATACGATTTATTTAACTTACACAAGAAAATTAGAAACATGACGACATCTAATAGAAGAAAGTTAGAGTTAGTTGGAGTTAGTAGTTCAGCACACAACAAACACGGACGTTTTTTTAAGCCGGTCTTGGTGAATTTTAAATTGCAGTTTAAAACAAGTAGATAAAGTAGATAACACGTATTTTTATGATAATTGTTTTGTTGTTGACACAAAAACACGGATATTATTTAAAAATAAAACAAACAAAAAAGTAACTACATAAAACATTAAATTGAGAAAAGTGCGCGTTATTTCAATTTTCGTTGACTTTCTCTTTGCAAAACTATAAAAATACTCAAACAGCTGACAGGGGCAGCAGATTAATTTCTAAAGTTCAATATAAAAACGCGGTTAATTCTGTGTGTTGTTTTTTCACACATGTAAACAGCTGATAGAGACAGCATTAAATTCTTAAGTGCGTATAGTGTTGTAAAACAATTAATCTGTTACACATTTTTAAAAATTTCATATTGTGTAATTGTGTTATTTCAAATAGTCTAATACTGTTAATATGAAAGAGTGTCACAAGTGTCGTGGAGGTATCCGTGGTGAAACTGGGTTAATATGTTCAGGTGTGTGCGGCAAGGCATATCACACAGCTACCAAATGTTCTGGTGTAGAGCAATTTAATATTAATTGCTTGAATAATCCTATGATTCATTTCATGTGCGAAGACTGTGTGCAATATGTTCACAATGTTGACTTTGGACTTAGGGAAATAAATGAAAATGTGGGAAAAAATAATAATTATCTTAAAGAATATAAAAACGAATTTAAAGACGTTAAAGATTGAAAGTTAATGAAAATGAACTTAAGTGTTTATTAAAATCTATCGAGGCTAAATACTCTGATAGAATCAATGCTCTGAAGAAAGTTCAAGAACCATACGTAAATAAATTTACGGCACTTGAAGAAAAAATGTTAAATTTGTCAAATAATTTAAAAAAAGATAATGAATTATTGTGTTCTGAATTATTAAAAAAATTTAATAAATGTGAAGATAAGAAAGAATCTTATGCAGAAAAACTTAAATCGAGTAATACATCTACTGTACCTATTACAGTGAAACCAATAAGGAAACAGTTAGGTGATGACACTAAAAAAGACCTAAAAATGAAAATTAATCCGTCTGAACTTAACGTGAAGGTTAATGGTTTTCGAGCTAGAAATGATGGCAGGGTTACTATCAAATGTGTTACTTCAAAGGAACGTGAAATTCTTGCAAATGACATTAAAAAAAAATTAAGTGACCAATATATAATCGAAACACCTGTGCTTCGATACCCCAAATTATTCATCTCGGGTATTAGTGAAAAGCTAGAAAATGAGGACCTAGTACTTGCCATAAAAAATCAGAATAATATTATAGTTCAACATATTAAAGTGTTAAAAGTCTATGAGTCTTATAAAAATAAAAAAACATTTAATGCGATTGTTGAAATAGATGGCAAGGCTTTTAAGCAATTTATGAAAGAACGTAGAATTAATATCAGGTGGGATAGGTGCATCGTTTATGAGCATTTAAATGTTATGAGATGTTATAAATGATGGGGCTTTAATCATAAAGCAAGTGTATGCAAAGAAATTGACAATGTATGTGCTAAATGTAGTGAGACTGGGCATAGTCATAAGGAGTGCAAAAATGTTTTTATTAAATGTGTTAATTGTGTTAAGGCAAAAAAAAACTCTTAACCTTCGTGAGCTGAGTACGGATCATGATTGCAGAGATGTTATGTGTAAGACGTTACAGCGGAGAGTTAAACTAGAAGCAGAAAATACTAATTATTAATCATGGAAGATAAAACTTTAATTAATATTTTTTGTAAACAACAACGTGGTATTAATATAGTTCATTTTAATGCGAGAAGTCTTTCTGGCTTAAAATTAGATCATGTAAGAGCTGTTTTCGAAGACAGCAAAGTAGATATTATCTGCATTTCTGAGACTTGGTTTGACTTCCATCTTGATAGTTCATACCTATCTATAAACGACTTTGTTTTATTTAGACATGATAGGAAACATAAATTGGGTGGCGGCGTTGCTATTTATTGTAAATCATATTTAAGAAGTCAATTGATCTGTATATCGGAAGAAAGTGAAATTGAATTTTTATGTGTATGTATTTATTTAGGTAGTCATAAAATTCTTGTTTCTTGTGCTTATAACCCCAGTAAAAGGTACTGTAGTGGTCCTCTTTTTGAAGCCCTCCTTCCTATTGCTGTCAATTATGATTTTATTGCCATATTTGGCGATTTTAATATTGATATTCTTTTGAGCAATGCTAAAGTGTCTGCACTGAATGGCCTTATAGCTATGGTTGGTCTAAGCATTGTGAATAATACCGTGCCTACTAGATATAGTAATAATGTACGCCCAAGTCTCCTCGACTTAGTGATCGTGTCTGATCTGACCAAAGTGTTGTTATTTGATCAGATTTCGTTTGTTTCCGATCATGATTTATTATTTACTACCTTAGATTATTGTGTAACGAGAAATGTCAATCCCTCTCAATTTTCTTTCTGGAATTTTAAATCAGCTGATACTCAGTTATTATGTAGTGATCTTAGCACTGTTGACTGGAGTAATTGCTGGTTTGGTGCTTCAGTTGATGACAAATTGACAGTCTTAAACAATATAATTATTAATTATTTGCATCAGTATATTCCGTATTGTACTATACATGTTAAGAATTCTTCATGTCCATGGTTCAGTACTGACATCAAACGTATGATAAACAAGAGAAATAGGAAGTATGCAGTGTGGAAAAGATATCCGAATGTTTTTAACTGGACGTGGTTTAAAGCAGCTCGAAATTTGACTCGAATGGCTATTTATCTTGCTAAATCTAGGTTCATTAAATCGAAACTAGATACCTCATTACCTACAAAATCACTTTGGAGCAACATCAAAGCTCTAGGGGTGGTTAATAGTTCAAAAAATGTATGTAGCATTGATCCTAACATTTTAAATGATTTCTTTGTTCCTATAGGAGATAGATTGAACGTTGCTCCGGTCTTCCCTGAACTTGAGAGTGTTCTCCCCGAACGCAGTTTTGACTTTATATGTGTTAGTGAAGAAACTGTCTTTAATAATGTCATGAAAATTAAGTCAAACGCTATTGGAATAGATGAAATTCCGCATAAATTTATTAAACTTATACTGCCGTTTATTATTACTCCTTTGACGCACATTATTAACCACTGTTTCACTACATCATGTTTTCCTACTGTTTGGAAAAAAGCCAAGATTATTCCAATTGAAAAAAAGGCTAATGCATCCTCATGTTCCGATTATCACCCAATCAGTATTCTCCCTTCACTCTCTAAAGTGTGTGAGAACATTATGGCTGATCAAATACGTACTCATCTTAACTGCTTTAAACTTCTCTCTCCTCTCCAGTCTGGGTTTAAAAAAGGTCATAGTTGCACGACGGCAATGCTTAAGGTCCTCGAAGATATTCGATGTAGCTATGATCAAAACTTAGTAACATTTTTATGTCTCCTTGACTTTACCAAAGCTTTTGACTGTGTTGACCATTCTCTATTATGTAAAAAGCTTTTTCATTCCTTTTATTTTTCTAGGTCGGCCTCAGAATTTATTTATAGCTACTTAACTGGAAGGGAACAGGCTGTACTCGTAGAGAATGCTTTTTCTAACTTCAAACCTTTATTTACTGGGGTACCTCAAGGCTCTGTACTAGGACCTCTTTTATTTTCAATTTATATTAATGATATTTTTTCAATATGTAAGTATGCTATATTGCATGCGTATGCAGATGACATTCTAATGTATCTATCTTGTCGGATTTCTGATATTAATGACCTCGTGCAAATGACTACTGCAGATTTATCATATATAGTGGTATGGGCTAAGCAAAATAATATGTTCCTTAACATAAACAAGTCTTCAATTCTACCAATTGCTAGGCTAAATATTAATGTTGATTTCTTGCCATCTATAACACTTGGCAACTCAATTATTAAATATACTAATTCGGCAAAATGTCTGGGTTTTCATTTGAACACTAATCTGCATGCTGGCGAACATGTTAATCAAGTTATTAGAAAAGCTTTTGCATGTTTAAGAGGTCTGAACCTTTCTGTGAAGTATACACCGGTTGACATGCGTATTTTGTTGGTAAAACAACTAATTATTCCTATTGCTATGTACTCCTCTTTAGTGTACTCAAAACTTGATGTTGAATCCCTCAATAAGTTACGAAGCTTAGTAAACTGCTGCACGCGATATGCTTTTGGTCTTAGACGCTTTGATCATTTAGGTATTTATAGAAATGTGATTCTAGGGTGTGATATTGAACAATATATGCAGTTTCGAGTATGCTTATTTTTGTTCAAACTTTTATCCACTACTACGCCGAAGTATCTTTTTGATTGCTTGCAGCTAACTAGATCTAACAGATCTTGTCTTTTCATCATTCCCAGATTTAGTTTTGCCTCCACTACTAAGTTTTTCTTTATTCAGTCTGTTAGAATATGGAATGCTCTTTCAAGCACAACCAGAAATGCAGTTAACCCGAGTGTTTTTAAGAAACTGTTAAAAAACGAACTGTGTTAACGTCACGTTTATTTGTCTTTATTTATTTTTTTTGTTTTTTATTCTTTGTTTTGGTTGTTATGCTGCTATATAATTAAGTTTACTGTAATTTGTTTGTTATTAACTTAAACTCTATTATTTAAATATTTCATGCTGTTTTCTTTTTTGTTTCGCTATTGATCAGTAACTATAATTTTAATACTTTTTACATATGTTATTACTATATTCTCTGAAAACTTTAATTACTTTTTTTTATTTTATTTTATTGTATTTTTTGTTTTTATTTTTATTCTTTAAATTAGTTTTAAAATACTGCAATAAAAAGGGTTGTCCCTTAATGCATTTAAATAAATAAATAAATAAATAAATAAATAAATAAATAAATAAAGAGAAGCACACTTATGGATACCGAAGGTAAATACGTAACAGAAAAAGACGAAACACTTCGCA